AAAAAGGTACCCCAAATTCCACTGGGTTACTGACTGGTGTCACTGCTGCCCCAGTAAAGTTTGTGTACAGGTGCACACAGGACTTACAGGGTACTCATACAATTGAGCAAAGTGTTTCTGGGCTTTGATTTTTAAAAATGCTCCTTGAAAATGAGCTGATGAACCAAACATTAGTTCATGTTTGGTTCATATCAGTGATGACAATGAGGACATCTGTGTGTGGGTGAAATTACAGCATTTTCTGCTGATTGTTATAAGTATCTGAGGCTGATGTACAACTAAATATTTTATGTTTCATGTAGCTCTTCCTCAAGTTATAAACAATGTTTGCCCTGAAGGTAGCTGGAGTAGAGGAAATGTGAGATACCTAGAAAACAATTTCAAATCCTTTTATCCCCTATGTTTTTCTAGCAGCCTGGAACACATTTCAAGTGCACCTGATTCAGTAGCTTTAGGCATGAACCCTGAGGTAAAGAAACCAGTTTCTTAATGAGGTTCCAGAAATGGACAGCTTTCTGTGCTGGCTGTTCTGTCTGGAGGATGCACAGACTACTTTCAAAAGCTTGCATTTTTAAGCTACAATTACCATTTTGGCTATAATAAGTGTATCCTACTTATTTCCTTCAGGAGGAAGGGATGAAAAAAATGGTATGTCTTAAAGCAAGATACATTCCATACAGAACTCCATAATGCAGGTGGAAGGAAAAGCACCTGGCTGAGTCAGGGCCTGGTGCTTGTGAGTTTAGGAGCAAAACTGTAGTAGTAGTAGTCACAGAATTGTACAGCAGAAAAACACAAGAGAGAACCTTTTGGTATTGTGTGTTTCTCCCTTCTGTTCTTCTTCCCCTACAGTCATAAAGACTAGGATACTTCTTACTGACTTCTTTGTCCTGTAAACATCTACTCTCTTGCCCAGCACTGCCAGTTATTTTAAATTCCAAATAAGGGAAGTGTTCCTTCTCTTTCCATTTAAGTGTAGTGTTTCTCCATTCTTGCATGTTCAAGGATAGTTTTGTTATATCCCCCCTACTCTATACTATTCCTTTAACAAACAATTTCAAAACTCTCTCTGGGAGCCCAAAGCAGGGTTTCCATATGCTGGTGAACTCGAATGTAAAGGCTTCTGCCTGCATAATGAACAGAGCTTGAAAGTGAGACTGTTTGCATTTCATTCAGCTTCAAATGTAACAACAGGCTGTAGCCAGGCTGAAAAGTGGAGGGAGAAGATTTTAGGATTTCTGCCAGTCCTTGCTAATAGTTTACCAGCCAATGAGATTTTTGTCTGTCTTCAGAATGTGCAAAGCAAGGATCAGTTGTGCTGTGCTCCATGTGCCAAACAAGATTTTAAAACAGTTGTTCAGATACTTCTGGTTTCCATCCTCTGACTGCAGTTGGCTACAATTCACTGTTGAGATTTTCTTGTTTTATTTAGTTTTAGTCCTGTTCATCCTGATTGCTCACTTGTCCTAACTTCTGAACTGCAACTGCAAAGCACAAATTCTAGTTAAGTCATTACTGGATTCCACTTTATTCAGAAGAGATGCTCAGTGGATTGCTGCAATGGTGAACTATGTAATGCCACAACCAGCGTGCTAAAAGCAATATTTTTAACCCTATGCTTGGAAGCAAGCAGCTAGACTGCCTGGCAGAGCTGTGACCTTCTCTGAATGCTCATGGAAAACCCTGTCTGGCTCTGCATGTGCTGTTGAGGGAGACAGTTCATGTGACCACTGCTTCAGGTGTCAGAGGAGTTCAGTTGGAGCTTCATTCTGATCTCCAGCCTGCTCTGCTGCTGCTTCCTACAGAAGTTGACAGCAGCTGGAGTTAAACACAATTTCAGACTGAATTCTGTGGCTTTCTGGCAGACCTACTTTTCCCTTTCTGAGGTTCCTGCCATCAGTGACAGTATAATCCTATGTATTGATCAAGGGTCAATCGGCTGTGGGAGTGAGACCTGCACTGCCAGGACTATTGTAGGTGTCTGCAGCAATTGCAGTGACAAGATATGCAGTTGTTGCAGACACAGGAAACAGAAAGTACACAGATGGTTCAGTATGTGGGAAAAGGTTCTTTGGATGACTCAGAATAATTCTATCTGTGTGATTACTGTATGCAGAAGCTGGAGTGGCTCTGATCCTACTTAGTAGTTACTGAAACATACAGAAGAAAATACAAAGTTTTCTCCTATACTTTCTCTTTTCTAGCCTACCTTGACCTTTCTCTTTTCTGTCCTTTTCTTACCCTACTCTGCAGCTGAAGGAGCAGAAACCAACTCTGCCTCATTACACAGTGACCTAGAAAACCAACAGCTTGCATCAGCAAATCAGTACCACCTGTACATCTGCCTAAAATAGATTAATGAATTTATTAAAGTCTTGAGGAAGGGGATTGTTTTGCTTTTGCTATTGCATCCTTCATTTTTCATTGTAGGTCAATGCATATATATTTTATTCATAAAGAAAAGAGTTATTTTAAGTCAAAACACACTGAATTATGTTTGTGCTCCCCATTTTGGATAACTGAATGCAGCTGAAATGTTGAACTGGGACTACAGATCATAATACAAGAGGATGCCTATAGAGAAAAAGGACACATCTAATTTTGGGAGACAAGGAAGGAGTCTTAGTTTAACTTTCTGCCTGACTTTTCAGGTATTCACCACAACTGGCACCAGATCAAGTGGGATCTGGTTCAAATCTGTCATGCCCAGCTAACCAAACCAATTTCTTTGACACAGTGCAGTTCTTTTCCTGTTGTCCATGAAGTTATGGGTAAACTTCCATAGCTAGTTACATACACGTCTTATCCCAGCTAACCAAACCAATTTCTTTGACCCAGAGCAGTTCTTTTCCTGTTGTCCATGAAGCTATGGGTAAAATTCCATAGCTAGTTATATACAACTCTTACAATAAAAGAAGGAAATAATCATATCTGAATGTTCAGATCTCTCCTGGAAACACATTATGTGGCAGTGCTTACAGACCATAAACACCAGTACTGTGTGTGTATCTGCTTCTCATGCTTGTGCTAACTGACACTGTGTATCCACTATGCTGCTTGGTCTGTTGTTGCTGTGCCTTTGGTAACAGAACTGAGTCCTGAAGGCCCCAAATTCATCTTAATTCATCAGTGTCAGAGGGTGTAGAGCCAGATGGCAGAGCCTCTCCTGGACACAGTGCAGTTCTTTTCCTGTTGTCCATGAAGTTATGGGTAAACTTCCATAGCTAGTTACATACACGTCTTATAATAAAAGAAGGAAATAATCATATCTGAATGTTCAGATCTCTCCTGGAAACACATTATGTGGCAGTGCTTACAGACCATAAACACCAGTACTGTGTGTGTATCTGCTTCTCATGCTTGTGCTAATTGACACTGTGTATCCACTATGCTGCTTGGTCTGTTGTCGCTGTGCCTTTGGTAACAGAACTGAGTCCTGAAGGCCCCAAATTCATCTTAATTCATCAGTGTCAGACGGTGTAGATCCAGATGGCAGAGCTTCTCCTGGGTATCAGCAAGAGTAAGAGGATGTTACATGAAGATGGAAGGGATTTGATAGAGAGGGAAAGGACAGTGTTGGTGAAACAAAAATTAGAAACAACTGACTATATCAAAGGATTGGATAAATAATACACTTGGATGTTTATTTTCCAAATATACTACAAACACTTGTTCCTTTTTAAAGAAAAGAGGTAAACTGAAATCCACTTTGTTGCATAATAATCACAGCTCTAGTAAGTTGCAAGCTGTTTTGTTAAGCTGACTTATTAAAAGCCTTGCTTTTTCTGTACAGTAAAAGACCATTGTTAAATTGCTGATTAGAAAGGCTACTTTTGAGAGAGGAACCCTGTTGTTCAGTTGTAGATTTTGTTTCAAAATAGTAAAGCATAAAACCCAGTAAACTCACAAGCAGAAGTTAAACTCACATAACTCTCTTTCAGTAATTTCTCCCATACATCTGAACTGGTGGAGCAATCAGTCTGTGACCAATGTGACCTCATGTAAGTTTTGAGGGACTTTTAGAAACAGCCCAAGTAAATTTTAAAAAAAAATCACTATTACAGTTCTGCTCAGGTGCATATTGCTTTGTGCATATGTTTGCACAGAAGCTGATCCTCATCAGTGAGTGGCATCTGAGCTGGGTTAGGTGCCAAAGGGAGTTGAGCCCTTTACTGCTTTTCCAGGAATGCTCAGCTATGACTTCCACCTGCTAACACAGCTCACCTCCCTCCCAGACCTGGGCTTGCTCAATCTGCACACTGCTGTGTTGCACCATAAAGGCTTCAGGATACAATTTCTAACCTAACGTGCTGGAGTAAAACAATTAAGAACTCCTTCCCGCCCTGCTCTGTACCACAGCTGCCCGTGACATTGTGCTAACAACACCTGTTTCCTGGTGCTATGCATGAAAAAATGCAGGCTAAAAATTCCTTTGGGGGGATGGGGATGCTATTTGAGGAAACTGAGAACTCCGTTTTGCTCCATTTCCCAGCTAGGGGAAATGACGTTGTTTTGTGTGTGTATCACTTGCAGCAATATTGTGACTCAGTGCAAGACTTGTCACTTGAAAGGGCAAGAGTACAACGAGTCATCTTAACAATCCCACGAGGCTTCTAGATAGGCAGCTAGTGACAGAAAGGTCTATAGTGGAGATATGTACCAGCTGGGCAGATGCTTCTGTGCTGGTTGTGTGCTGCAAACCAAGACTAAGTATAAACTAGAGCCAGCAAACTCTGTTTACCCTCTCTGTCTGACAACATCCAAGCCAAAATCTTGGAAATACTCAAATTCCAGGTCTACTTGAAATGGCAGCTCAAAACTGAAAATGAAATGCTGTGAATGACTTTATAAGAGCACTGGAATCATTAATACTTTCCTCACTATATCATATAGCAATCATGTTAGTACTTTAAAATCCTTATAAAGTAACTACACAGATAGCAGTGTTATTCCTGGTGATACCATTTCTTAAGGTTTTCTCCCCCTTTTTTTTTTTTCAGACTATTCTCCAGGGGATTATTTTGCTACCCCTCCGTGCCATATGTGCCATAGTCAGTGTACTGCTGGCATGGCTGTTTGCATCAATTGCAACTTTCCGTCACCCTGGAAAAGGAGCTATGCCCCTGAAAGGATGGAGAAGGTAAAAAGTGACAAATATTTGTGAAAAATATCCTGCCTTTTTGTATTTTTTAAAATAACACAAACCCAAGGTTTAGAGCTTTTTTTCCCTCTTCTATTTGATTAAAGATTCTTCTGTGACATCTTAGTTTTACCCATTTAGATGAAGCAACTTTTTATTTAGTCTATTTTACTAAAATAGTGGAGCTTTTTTAAGAGGTAGGTTTTCAGTTGTCTTGAGGCTAAACCAAATTTGTATAAAAAGCTTTATAGACTATTTGTAAGCCAGGATTTATTTTAGTAATAATACTATAGGAATATTTGAGAAATGAAACTCATGAAGGGAAGTATTTGGTAACATTACATAGGCTGAGTTTTAGCCTTTGTTTTAGGCTATGATTCTGTGACAAAATTAGCTTTGACAGCTCCTCTCAGCTGCATTACCATTGAAGGAGCATTTTACAGCTGCTTCTGTGGGTTCTGGGTTTCAGTCACTGAGCTTCTGACCTCAGAGTAATGAAGTTCCCTTCTAGCTGAGATGCAGTGCAGCTGCACTCTGGAGGAGATGCAGGAAGTGAATTCTAATAAGACCAAGAGATTATGGAGAGTCCCATGAAAATAACATGTGCCCTACCATGGCAACATGTTCCAGTAAGAGAACACTGTCATTTAATCTTACTTGTTTAAAACTGATAGTAAAAGAACAGTGCCAGTTACCCAAGTTCTTACAAAAAGGACACCATCTGCTCATTACTCCCCTCACAGTAGTGTTATGCAACAATTCTATAAAATACAGCAAGAGAAATAATGTACCTGGGAGGAAGGTTTCACAAGGTGCTGTACAGTGCCTTATTTTTCATCAGGAAAGGTGATGTTCCCTTCCCTACTTCCCCTTTAGACCTACATTCTCCTAGAGAATTGCTACCCCATGCCAGGCCCCAGTGCTGGTTAGAACTAGAAAATCTGTTATGGGCTTTTCTATACAAGTACAAAAGAAATACTGACTGTAAGACTGATGATATTTTTGTGTTTCTGTTTGCAAGGAGGATGATCCAGACCACCCTCTCATGCCTAACTCGTTTCATGTTCTTCATAATCGGTTTCCGAGTTAAAGTAAAAGGAAAAGTGGCAAGTCTACAAGAAGCCCCAATTTTTGTTGCAGCTCCTCATTCAAGCTTTTTTGATGCCATTATTTCTCCCCTAGCTGGAATGCCATCAATTGTGTCTAGAGCAGAAAACCTCTCAACTCCAATACTTGGCAGTAAGTATTTATGAGCAAAAAACCAAAATGGTTACAAGTCAGCATCTTGACATCAGGCCAAAAATTTATCTCTTAGAGCGATTTAGAGGCAGACTTTAAAGTCTTTAGTTTCCAAAGGTACTGACAAATTATTTGCAGTGAAATTCCTGTGACACATTTTCTTCCTGAATTGGTAAAAATGTCTACAAGTGTGCTGTTTCTTTTCAGATATAATATCACTTTAACTTTGTTTTATACTTAAAACCTGTGTTGCAACTGCTCAGACTAGAAGCTTTCTGTTTAATTCTCCCAGTAGGTAGCTCAAGAAATCTGTTCCACTGCTGTCTTATAACAGTGTGGCCCACAAATTTGGAACACAGATCAGTGAAGGTTATTTCAAAACAGTCCAACTACAGCAGTCTGGAAAATACCACATTTATAAGTTTAAACTTGCATGCACTGTTATGGATTTCTTTAATGGGAGCAAGACCAGGAAGGAATAAAAGGGGAGTTACTCAAAAAGGAAATGCAGAGAATGGAAAAGATCAGATGACTCATACTTCTATTATTTTCCCCTCCTTTAGGCACAAAAAGAATCCCTGTTTGCATTATTACTAGAGTCAGCTGTAGACTTTCTGCTGGCTATACAATAACCCAGAACTACACTCAGTGGGCAACACAGCAAAGTGTCTTTGTAGGAAATTATCTAATGGGTAATATATTGATTTTAGCTTAGAAGCACAGGATTGAGACCTAGAAGATAATTCTTCACCAGGTTTTTCATCAAATCTTAATAGGTCCACATATTCTGATGTAGACTTCTGATTAAATGAGGATTATTTTTTCTGTAATTTGCATAGAAGCTGTGCATGCTTTGTAAGTGAAAAGGGAAGGTTCAAACGACTTGTTGGGTGCAGTCTGCATGAACTAGGCCTGAATGTGGCCTATGAGTAGAGACCTGATCAAGTTACTTCCTTAGAATCGTGTGGAAATGCTCAGTGAAAAATAACAATATTATTAGGATGTGTTTGGGTGAATTTCAGGTGTTTATACCTACTGTAAAGCTCCTCAGCTGGCAGTGTAGAGGTGTCTTCTGTGTCTTACTTCCCATTTTGCAGAGTGAGAATAACAACACTCTTATCATTTAGTCTGAAAGTTGTTTATGTGGAGTCTGTCTCCTAGTATAAGAATAACAAGTTTTTGCTACAAGGAAGCCTTGAACCCACTTGTCTCCTTAGCACTAGTATATTTTTTTTATCTCTTTCCCAGAGATTTTAAGTTCCCTTCAGCCCGTGGCAGTTTATCGTCAGGACCCTGATTCACGGAAGAATACAGTCACCGAGATAACTAAGAGGGCATTATCAGGAGGCCTGTGGCCACAGGTAATAAATACATTTCTCTTCTGTCTTATATTCATATTTCCAATTCATTGTGCATCACAGTATCACAGGTGCCCAGCTGAACAGGAGTCTGTTGATGTGCAAAGATGAAGTCAGCTCTTAGGTATAGGACTGGTTTTAGAAAGAGACTGGTGCCCACAATATTTCCAATTCATTGTGCATCACAGTATCACAGGTGCCCAGCTGAACAGTGTTGATGTGTGATGTGCAAAGATGAAGTCAGCTCTTGGGTATACGACTGATTTAAGAAAGGAAGAGACTGGTGCCCACGGAGAGTTTTGTCATGTCAAATGAGTCATTTAAAATACAGCCATACCAATTGCTGCTGCAAATGCAGATCTTCTTGACTTCCTCTTTGTCCTGTTCAAGTCTTCTCACGCTGTCTTCAGCGTAGCAGATGACTTGCATTGGTCTGTGTGAATCAGTACAGTGATGCTGGCTCAAGCATGAGCAGCCAGGCTGTAAAGCTGTGCTCACCACACTTAGGGGATGAGCAGTTGATGAGATGAGTCACCCAGGCTGTCCAAGCTCCAGGACCAAGCTGAAAACACCAGTTTTTCATGTGGAGAATAGCTGTGGTAAATCTCAGGTCACTCTTTAGGTTAATAATGCACTGAACTCAAGATTTTTAGATTGATCTGAATTGTGGAAACATTTTAACATGGAAGCAATAGTTACTGACTCTGCAGTGTTTCCTATGGTGATTTCTCAGCAGCAAGCTGTTGTTACACTTCCAGGTCTTGGATGGCTTTCTGTCCAGAAGAGCTAATGGGGCTACTCAGGATGGAGAAAAGTCTTGATGCATCAACTCTGCAGCTTTTACAACAGGCAGGGGGCTGGGATAGAAATCCACAGCCTTTGCAAGAAGAAAGACTGGGAGCAGTCGTGAACCTACAGACATCTCATTTGGCAGTGCCTTTCTGCTTTCTTCTGCTGTACTGCCTCTTTCTCATGGTGCCTTCAGATCCTACAAATCCAGCAGTGTCATGCCACACTGCTGGATAAATACAGTCAGCGATACAGGTCCTTTCTCCAAAGATGTCCTCATGCTTTATGTTTTGCATTAGTTCTTGACTTGATTTCTTGAGGGTTAATTTACTTAAACTAAAAACTTCAAGAAGCTAAAGTCACAAGGTCTCTTTAGGCATAGTTGGATACCTCCTAAATGACTAAGATAAGTTAACTTTTCCTTCACTTTTGTTGGCTTTTGAGGAAAATTAGAAGAGGCAAGTGAAAATTGACTTCAGTAGCAGGTATGGTGCCAGGTAGACCTGCTGTCTACTGCTCTGCTTTCTGAACAGGCTTTAGAAACAGAGACTGTTGAAGTAGGGAAGACCAACACTTGCCACTTTTTTTTGTAATGGCATTATTTAGACATTTTATGCATTTTTCCTTCATAAGCTCCTTACAAAAATCTTTTCAGAATTTAGGCTACTTTACTTTGTCTCATAAACACATTTTGCTAAGCTGCTGTAAATATTGTTAGATCCTCCTTTTTTTTTTTAAAAATTTGTCAGTTATGCAGAGGATTTTAAATATATACATGTCAAAGCTAGGAAAACCTTTTTTTTTTAATACTGTGGTTACAAACTGCACTGATGCTTATGATTTGCTCAACTGTTATGGATGAATGCCCTGGTAGACATAATCTCTGCAGAAAGCATCATGGGGAGGAAAAGGAAGTCGACTCTATGTCAGTGCCACACTTGGGATAAAATCTAGATAGGTCTATGAATCAAGTAATCTGGGAATCATCCAGACTGAGTCAGCAGTACAACTGGGAGTGTCACTGAGGATTCCTAGTCCTGTGCCCTGGCCACACCTTCCTCCTACTCTTTTTTTTCTTTTTTTTTTTCTTTTTTTCTGATAAACTTAACCACAAGATGATGAGGTGATGTCTATCATACCATCTTCAGAGTGCCTGGGCTGTATTCTCTTAGCACTATAGAAAAGAAAGAGTAGCTGGATTTCCTGTTCCCCCTTCTTATAACCCAAACACAATGTGCTGGGCAGCATTTGTGGGTATTAATAGCTTGAGGTTCTGATCAGTGCTTCTCCCAACCCTGTACCAAAGCAAAGAGGAAGGAAGGAATGACTACTTACTCTTTGGTCAGTCACTAATGTTTTCTGGGGCTCATCATGTAGGGCTTATCATGGGGCTTATCATTTAGGGTTGGACTCGATGATCTTTGAGGTCTCTTCCAACCAGGTTGATTCTATGAGTCTATGTATGCTGAGCAGAAACATACCCATGTTTGTGTCCATAGCCCAAGCAAACAGTGTGTGATTACCGAGTGTGTAGTGCAGGACTAACTGTAAATCAGAATGTGCAGCTGCCCCTGACATAGCTTGGAACAGTCTGTGTCTCTCAGGTGTGACCCACTGAGGCTTTCTTGCACATCTGGTCATTCACACACCTGGAACACTCTCGATCCAGACCAGTGTTTGTGCTGAGATGTTTTTGGAATGCTGCTTATGATCCTGTAGTGATGTGAGAAATACAAAGCTCTCTTGTATTTCATAGGGGACTGGACTCAGAGTGTCACATTGCAGCTCAAAGTGCACCTAATCTAGTATCTCTCAGATAGTCATTCAGAAACCTTCTGGGTGTTGGTGTGTCTGAGTCATTCGGGCTCAGAGGCTGCTGTGGTGTGAAATTCCTTCAGAGCTCTGCCTCACAGATGCAATGCTCTCTCTGCCTTTTGCTGCTGCTGCTGCTCAAGCTGTGATCTCATCACAGCTGCCATCTCACTCGTGTTGACAGCATCTGTGCCTGTAAATCCTCAAGTACCTCATGCACTTCCTGTCAGCTCAGACTCTTGATGTTTATACATCCAGCAGTTCAATAAGGAGCTGCTGGCAGAAGAACAATTCTCCTATCATTACCAACACAAAAACTTCAAGTGAAACAGTTAAAGCCATTTGTATCATATTTCTGAACCAATAAAGGCCTTTTCCCAAAACTCTTCTCATACAAAGCGTTTGTTTTCCAAATCAGTGTGGACCAGGTTAATAACATTGTGAGCATCCTTGACTTAGTTGTTCATTTCCTTTTGAAAGAGTAATGATATTCTTGTGATACAGTGCAACAGGTCACAGAGCTTTCATAAAGTCAGCCTGTGCATAACAGATGCTAAAGTATAATCTTTTTATGAAATACTTGTGTGCCTATGTATATATTTCTCTCTCTTTAAATCCAAGATACTGATTTTCCCAGAAGGCACCTGCACAAACCGATCTTGCCTGATCACATTTAAACAAGGTGAGAGATTTTGTCGCATTGTTGTTGGAAAATAATGTGTGATACTAATTTGGTAGTTGGAATAAGGACTGTATTTCTGCAGGTCCATCATCCACAACAGCACTATAGTAATCCCTAACATTATTAAAGTTTCAGTGGCACTAAACCCACTCTTCTGTACAAGTCAGCTTACTTTTCTGATTTGTGCTATTGTGGAGGATGCAAAATAACTGTGATGTATATGGTTAGTTAGTTGGGTTTTTCCTAGGTAGAGATTTCAGCTGTTTTATTTACCCAGAAACTTCACTCTGATTATTATGAGACGAACATATGAATTTACTTATGATCTTTTAGCTCAGGTCACAGTTGTGCAATCTTAGATGGCTATAAATTCTGCCACACAAGACTTAGCAACCAAGTCATGAACTCTCTTTGCATGGTGCTCAGCAAGCTGGGACAGTAGATTATTTTTAACACAGAAAGGTACTTGTTAGCATCACTGACCATTAGATTCTCGTGCTGCACCTCGGTTAAAGCCATGCTGATCTCCTTTCTTAACTGCTGTACAGTGGCAAAGTTACAAAATCACTGCTATGTGCTTAGATCTGTATCACTTATGAAGATAATCTGAACAGAGAAGGGTTCAGGAAATGCTCAACAGCCTTGTGAGCATCTAATCCTTCGAACTGTGCTCAACAGCCTTGTGAGCATCTAATCATTTGAAATAAATGCCAGTCCATGGTGAGGTAGTACACAGAAAAGCAGTTTGAACAGTTCAGGAATCCTAGACAGCTTTTTCTTTGAAATGGAACCTAACCCTTTTCTGTCCTGGCATCTTGCTAGTTGTGCTGCTGATTTAAAAACAAATAAACAAGCAAAACCAAGCCAAACAACAACCCATGAAGAAATCAGAGCAAGAAGAATGCTTCCCATTCTCCTTGCCTTTTAAAAAATGTCTTCTTTCAGATACCATGTCTGAAATGATTCACTTAAAACTCCCAGTTGCTGTATTAAGCTTAGGTGTAACAATCAGTTCTAATTTGTGGCTACAGGTGCCTTTATTCCAAGAGTCCCTGTACAACCTGTGTTACTGCGATACCCCAACAAACTGGTAAGCAGAACATTCTTCAGACACTAACTAGTAATACCAAAGTCAAAATCCTGACTGAAATGGTACCTACAATAAATATTTTGCCTTGTCACTGAAGGATATATTGTCCTGAGCTTCAGCCTCAAAATCCTGACTGAAATGGTACCTACGATAAATATTTTTCCTTGTCATTGAAGAATATATTGTCCTGAGCTTCAGCTTTGAAGAGCACCTGGAAGCAGCCAAACTTCCCAGGTGTCACCATGGTGTAGCTGCTATTCTGACTGTGAAAAACTTACTGCTGGGCTTCTTATTTATAGTTAGAGGGAACCCAGGAAAGTATTGCAGCGGAAGTTAGAAACTTCCTGCAGTGCCACAGACTCTGTACTTTGAAGTCTGAAATGGCCACAACTTCCCTACTAGTCATCCTTTTTCATTTAAGCTCAATATACTCTTACTGCAAAGGCACTTGCAAAGTTTTTGAACAAAAGTATAAAATGTGCTATGTACAAAGATTCAAGGATTGTATAATCCTTCTACAAGTATAAAATGTGCTATGTACAAAGATTCCTTTGTATAATCCTTCTACATATGAATTTCAAAAGTGAACCACTCTAGGGGATTGGTATTGCATTTCACTGATAGGATTTAAGGATCTGTCAGTACACACTGTAAAAATTATGTATAATTAATACTCAGAGAGACTGTAAAAATTATGTATAATTAATACTGATAGAGAGAAAAGGAAAGAAAAAAAAAGCAAAGAAAAAGCATGATAGATTGTGCAGAAATGTCCCTAAAATTACACCAGATATATTTATGAGTGTGCCTTTCTAAGGGGACTGGTAAAGTCTGCTGGAAAAGTATGACTATATTTTCCCCCTTACTTCTGTTGTTTGGATCACAATGAATGATTTGCAGTATCTAAGTAACTATATACATGTTATTCCCAATTGTTGATAATAGTCTGCCATGCTTTTTTTTCCAATCTAAGTAATACATGTTATTCCCAATTGTTGATAAAAGTCTGCCATGCTTTTTTTCAAAATTTTTAAGGCAAGGAATCCTATTTGCCTTAACACCTGTATTTGTTTTCACTACAGGACTATAAAACCATCATCTGCTTTACTAAACTTGTGCCTGTTTTATATTGTAACTTACCTGCTCTCAGTAACTCTCATCTGGTTTTGTCACACATACATGTTATTCCCAATTGTTGATAAAAGTCTGCCATGCTTTTTTTCAAAATTTTTAAGGCAAGGAATCCTATTTGCCTTAACACCTGTATTTGTTTTCACTACAGGACTATAAAACCATCATCTGCTTTACTAAACTTGTGCCTGTTTTATATTGTAACTTACCTGCTCTCAGTAACTCTCATCTGGTTTTGTCACACAGTTCTGTGTTTTTTTTTTTCCTTAGGATACTGTGACCTGGACATGGCAGGGCTATTCACTGTAAGTTTATTAATCCTACTGAAAAATACATACAGAATTTTTTCCCCTGTTCCTAAACAGTCTGCCAAACAGATTCCCCTAAGCCAAGACACATGTTCTTCTAGATCTGTTTTTATGAGGGGGAAATACTTGGGGATAATGCTGTCATGCAGCAGATTTCATACCTGAATGGCTAGAAAAAGGGTTTGCAAAGGAAAGCATTATTTCCAGCTCTGTCACCCCCCCCTTTTTTTAAAAAAAATTTTTTCTCCTGTTTTGACCATTACACTAGAGCAAAAGAAAGATTTTAATTCTTTTTTTTTTTTTCTTTGGGAAACACTCATAGCCACCAAAAGCCATAGATGTTTACAGTTTCCTACACAGTATACAAACAAGAAAAAATAAACGTTATTTATGTTTACTCCTTCCACCATTTCTTTTGAAGTCATATGAGAATAAATGAAGAAGGGCAAAATAAGTATTCATTTATCCCATAATTCCCCATTCAAACATCTAGGATTCTTCTTTAGATTTTTATTTTTGCCAGTCTCAACAAAAGCAATTCTTTTGAGATCTCGATAGAAAGGCTATGTATACAGTATGTGTCACTGAAATAATGAAAAATATTTCAATAAACCAGCGAGCCAGTGGATCTCTACTGATTTCTGAACACAGCTGGCCTTTAAATATGCTAAAATACCATTAAAGTATTAAGAAATTTAGAGATTCTTAACAAAAATACCTGGAACCAGGAGAAGAACATTTCCAACACAAACCTGCAGGTCACAAAATGCAGAACTGTCACACTCTTTGTGAAACTTCCTGGCTATTGCAGCCAGGATAGACAGTACCAGTCTCCTTCTCAGAAACCTTCTGACCCAGTTTCTGCTTTCCCTTACCACTTCTTACTTTTGTGCCTTGCTGGGAGGAACAGCTAATGTTTATGTGTTACAAAATCAAGCACCAAGATTTGAATCGTGCACCAGGTAGTTGTCCTCCTGCCTTTTCCTTTTCCTGTTTTATTTTGTCCCAAACAAGAGCAGAAGAAATACTACTTGAAGGTTTTCTATTATAATCTACCTGACTTAAAGAGCAAATGTGCATTTCTACTTAAAAATCACAGTGAAAACAAGTCAGAAGTGATTATGCTTACCCTCTTTAGCAGTTTTTTCCTCCCCCTACCCTACTTGTTGATCCTAAAATTTGTAATTTTTTCTAAGAACACTGAGGGTCCCAAACATACTGACACATCATCAACACATCTGTGTAAACACTGCTGGAATTTGCAAAATTACTAGGAAATACTAAGAAATCCTTGCACCAGTTCTGTGTAAGGAAGTTACTGGTCGTGTTTTGCAGCTGAGAGATAACAAAGTAAAGCTACTTCTCAGAATGTTAAGGGTTGCACATAATTGCCAATGTGCATGGCAACAGACAACAAGTTGCCTGCCCAGTGCGCAAGCAGCAGGTATATGCAGAAGTCCTGTAGAGGAAATGTCAAAAGTAACTTTTCAAGGAACTTTACTACAAGGTACTTAGAAATCTTGCTCATTGTTGGCTTTGTTTTGTCTGTGCTTTAAAAAGTTTCATCTACTAACGTGACATGCAAATAACTTTGGTTTTAAATAAGTAAAATGTATTTTTTTTCCTCTTTGCCTGCAGAAAAGAGCTGTGTGTAATGACAGTGTGTCAGCTCTTCACAAAAGTAGAAGTCGAGGTAAGAATTGGAAATATTTTTGTACTAAGATTCAGCAACCAGGGAATTGATACTGTAATTTAAATGTGTTATTCATTATTAGTGACTGTTAGTGAACAGTAATCAAATGTCTCAGGGGCAAGAACAGAATCACAGTAATAGATTTAGATTTGTTGTCCATATCTATGTATCACTTAATCTGATGAGTTCCTAAAAGAAAGCTGTCAGAAGTGTCTTTATTTTTATAGCATTGTAAAATCATTGCTAATTAGCACCACATGTGTTTTACAGATGTTAAAGCTAAGAATTGGAATACATCCTGTTAAAAGGAACAGCTTATTTTTCCCACCTTCTCATTTCTTTGATCCCTTCAAAGTATCCTTGTCTTCCTCACCAGGTTCCCAGACTGAACTCTTACAGGTTTCTACAACCAAGAGCTCACTTGAGGACTCTAGTATTTGTACTGAGCCTGGTTTAACAAACTGGTTCCCTTGATCATCAAAATCCACTGCACAGCACAGCCAGATGAATGACAACTGATACAACATACACACTTCAGAATATGAGCACACACACTCTAACTGCTCCCTGTGACAGAGGCAACAGTCAGAACACAGTAGTAAGGAGCCAGATAAACTGTTTGAACCTCAGCTGTACTTCCCAGACCACAAAGGAGTGTCAGTGTGGACTAAGTTGGTTCAGGGACCTGAGGTAGGGCCAAAATTGACAGGTTTGGCTGTTTATTTGCTAAACATAGAGTTGAGGAAAGTCATCCAAAGCTTTGTGTATACAAAGTGTTGTTACTACTAACAATGAGCAATATAGTTCATGTTGTGAAACAATGAAATTCATTTTAAGGGAGCACCTTGTTACTGTCTAGTACTTGTAATAGACACTTGTGTATAGAAGGTGTAATAAAGAGACAATTCTCCTAATGATTTTTTACAGAAGGAAAGAGCTATATAATTTATATACATGGGAGCAAGAAATAGTTAATGTAGCCCTTCCAGCAGAAGTTCCTGCTTCATAACAGAGCTCGAACTTGTTAGAAAATAAATTTCTTGTTCCAAAAGATGAAACTGAAACATGAAAAAAATTTCAGCTTTCACAGCAGCATGTGTCCCCAAAGTGAAACTTATTTCTCAGCATCAATGCAAAGGTCTTTCCATTTCTTAAAAGAGAAGGGACAGATTTTCCTGGGGAAGGAGGGAATCCAACTACTCCTTTTCAGAGTGGCCATTTCCATTGCTGTCCCATAGTGTGAACAGTAGCCTCTCCACCCCTATCAGTCTTGCACTGCCTCTGCAAGCTGTGCATGAGCAGTGGTGGACTCCTGCAGGCCACAGGCATCTGTGTGTGCCTGTCTAGTCCAACAAATTGTGGATATTGAAGATTAAACAGTGAACCTGGCAGTGAGTTTTAGGGCTGCAAAGGATACAGCAGTTGGCAAATTCTGTAAGAAGTGAGATTAGGTCTTAAGTAGATCAGAAAAGTATTTTTGCCACTGAAAGAGCTGTGAAGAATTTTTTGCACAGGACTGTAGTTTGACAGGGAAGGTATACTTTGTACTGATAAGCAGCTGACTGTGTGTGAGATCATGCATGTCATCACAGGAGGCCAAAAACCCAAATTTCTCCTCCCCAGCTGTGGTTTCTGGCAAACAGGTTTCATGAATAATTGTAGGTGGCTTTTTTGAAGGAGTGGAGGTGGTGTTTAACCTGCCAGAAATTGACGTTGCACTCTGAGCAAGACCTTACCCTCAAGTCATATAATGACCACTTTCAAGCCCATAACCATGTTTGCACAGATAAACAACTGAGAGTTACGACTTCATGTCACCTGGTGACAACAGTTTTCTGTGTCTGCACTGTGTGCCTCTGCTTTCTCAGTTTAAGAGTTATGTGACTTCTGAAGGGGAGTTGTAGTGAGCAAGGACCTATGTCAGACCTTGAACAGAGCTGGCAACTGCTTACAGGAGGAGTGAAATCTCAGACATTCATGTGAACAGCTGGAGCTCTGCTGTCCTTACAGGGGAGACAACTTTTAACTATCAACAGAAAATTGTTATGGCTATTTGATAGATAACCAATTCCATAAACTTACTGGTTTTAATCATAAAGAGGCAGCATTCCTTAAAATCAGACATGAAAAGGCTGTTCAGGATGGACTGCATTTATATACAACAGTTACCACTGTATTAGTGCATCACCAGCAACCATAACATAACTGAGAAAAACATATTGACACATAATTCACAACTGCAGCTTCCAGTGAACCATGAGCAACACCTTGTTTTAGAATTGCTGTGTTCTAGGAATTAAGGGCAAGACTGCAGAGTGGGAGGAGCAGAATTCAGATAAATGATAACCTTGGCTGAAAAAAGACACAGTAAACAGAGCTGTGAGCAAGCACTTTAGACTGAAATAGAAGGAGCAAAATGCTCCTCCATACACACTACCTTGCAAACAGGTGCTGGTTCATTCCACAATAGATATAGCTCATCTATAGGATATTTTAGTGAAAAGGTACTTCAACTTCTTATATACCAATACTGAATAAATCCTCAACAGTAAACACGTTGCTATTTGGCTATCTGAGGTGTTTTCTAGGTGTGGAAGGAGAGGGGGTGTTGGAATTTTTTTGCTCTCTGCTTGGAGTTCCAAAACTTTACAGTATTATATGCAGTGTGTGCTACTTAAAACTCAGAATTATGATTCCTTAACATTTCTATCATGGAGGAAAAATGCAGAGGAAACTTATCAGTCACATGCTGACAGATACAATTTAACAGGTACAAGGTTGGATGCAGTGTGCATTTAAAAACATTAAAACTCTCACATACACTGTTCCAGTATATAACATCACTCATAAAGGATCTTCGAATTCAAACTCACATTCTCACCTATGCAGCATTTAATTTTCTAAGTCTGCATTTATTATACTTTCCTTCTTTGGGGGTTGATTTTTCATGTTAAAGCAGCTTCTACCAGTCCTTAAGAGCTAGTTTTGGACTAAATCTCGTTTGTGTAGTGAGGGCAGAAGAGCAAGAGCTGTTTCTAAGGCAGCTGAGACCTCTAGTGCTCAGTTCCCTCATTGCATGGCTGTTTGTTTTCTGGTTTTCCCCAAACAATAAGAAATTGTTCATGTTGCTAATGAAGTGGTGACTAGTGAGTTGATTGGATAACTCATCCCTTTCAGTTTCTGCCTGTTCATGTTCCTACTGATGAAGAAAAAAATGATCCCATTCTTTTCGCCAACGCAGTCCGACAAACCATGGCAAAGTAAGTAATCACTCATCAATAAAATCTTTGATAGCTGTTCTTGTATATCCAGCAATTCTGCATATATCCTAGATGTAAAGCAAAATTTTGTCAAGTCCCAGGTACTATATACAGAGAGATTGCTCTAGATTTTCAATAAGAGGTGTCAAATTCCTATACTAAAACACCCTGATTGTTTTACATGGAGCATAAAGAAGGTTGTCTTACATAGGAACATAGTATAATAGAGAAGGCAAACAGTCAAAGAAAAGTAATTTTCCTATAAGAAATTGATTTTTACTTAATTTTGTTTCAGTGCTTTGAACGTGCCAGTCACGGATCACACT